TCTTTCTAAGAAGAGCCCTGGACATGTATCCCACATTGTTCACCATGACTGTGGGTGCCATAACACACCAAGGAACATGGCTATCCACATCTGGATGCTATAAATAAGAATTCCCCAATTCTGCTTAGGTAAGAACACCTACTCAGGCAAATATTTCTTGATGAAGTTCACTCTCTTCTGCATTAAAGCCTTGTGTGAGAAATCACTCAATGGGCAAGGATATCCAAAAGGTATTTACATAGAAATCATAAAGGATTCTTCTGTACAAACTAGGTTAGTGTACTTTCCCTATTCTAACCATTGCCAGGGCTTCTTTCATAGAACCATGAAAAAGAATGGATTTTAAACAATTTTAAGACATAAAATAGTAATGACGAGAAAGGTTTAAATGCTACATTGACCTGAGTTCGAGCGACGGATCCATCAATTATTAGCTATGGGATCCTGAGTAAATTATTTAACCTCTCTGATCCTACTTTTTTCCACTGCTGGAATAAGTGGAAAGCCAGGAAGGAGTTGACCCTAGATCGGTCTTCAAAGCCTTTTCTTTTAACCATCACACTGGACTGCTCCAGAAGGTTTAAACACCACCTTGCATGTGGGAACTCACTACATCTCTGCAGGCTGATTGATTTATCTTCAGGAGCACCTTCTTCAATCAAAAGCCACGACAGCTAAAACTAAACACCCCGGCTGAAGAGAAACAGCTTCCTTCACTGAGTTTTACACATGCACAAGCTCCAGAGTTGGGTCTGAAAGAGGAGCATCCCTTTCAAATAGTAGTGAATCTGATAAATCTGTTCTGTTCACAGCCCAGGAAACCACACTTCAATGCAGAAGCTACATTTCAGGTTAACCAATTGTCTCAAAATCAAATACGCCTCTAAAGCAAGAATGTCTACTATTTTGAAAACTGAGATACAAAGTTTTAGTTGAGATATGAAATTTTCATTGGCAAATTAGGAAACCTTTTATATTCTCCTGAGAGGGGAATAAAGCCTTTTAATAAAGGAAAATTCCAAAGTGAAACATTGCTAAGAGAGTCTGTTCAAAATAGGGTGGGGAGGACATTGAGGAAGCAGGGCCTATGCACTTCTGTTTCAATTCTCCAGAACAGCCATGAACTTTTGATCTCATCAATTGTGACTTGTCAATTGCAATTCCACCACCTCCTGGAACATATCCTTCTACTTTGGACTGAAATCCAATGTAACACCTGTTAGCTAAATAGCCAATCCTGTAGTCTCCAGTTTAACTCTGTCAGCACCAATCGTAATTCTTTCAGAATAAGTTCTCTAACCTTGTGGGTTTTGCTTTTATAAACCTGTACCCTCTGCTTGCAATTTGAGATGATTTTCTTTTTCCATGGACCCTGTGCCTCCTGGATTGCAATCCCTAAGACCCCCCTGCCCAAAAAACAACACCTGTGGTTGCTTTTATAGCCTCTTCTTTTTGGTCCCCAGATCTACGAATTTAAATATCTTAAATTAGACATTGCCATTACTTTGGGATATTGTAGTGTTTTGCAACACTTCTGAAAGCAGGTTTAGATTATCCAGCTTAGAGTTGTCAGGGAAATACCATAAAGAAAGGGGAAGTATGACAATCTCGAGATGGCAGGCCTTGACTGAAAACATTCAAATTCAAAACACTTTAAAACTCCATGTAGCCAAACAAAGCACAACTCAAAGTCTCATATGGCCCTTACACACAATTTGCAAACTCACTTAAGAGGACAGAAGATACCACCACTCCCTCCACCACCCTGCAGGATTATCCTACAAGCAAACCTGCCAGGACTGATGGCTGAGGTCTGGGAGTCAGGTTTCATGGCTTTCTATGTCAAGTCAGCCCTCCACTGCCTGGCTTCTAAGTAGAGAACAATGCTCCACTCTACAGAGCCAGGCACCGTCCTGACCGCTCTTCTACCACGAGGCCGATCTCTGTACTGCTCCATATGCACGGCACGCCATCACATACTCACTCTCACCACCACCGATTGCTTATCTTTGTTCCGTGATTTCAAATGGCTTCACCTTACCTAGGCCACACCAAAGCGAATCCATCTTTAATTCCATTCATTTGTGTTTTGATTTTTTTAAACCCACACAAAGAGCACAGGAGTGGGATAAACTTCTCTGTTTTGGGAGGAGAGGGAAGGCTTCATAGAGACGTGATAGGTGTGCAGGGTTTAGGAGGAGGCTGCCAAGTGGAGAAGAGGAAAAGAGCATTCTAGGTGGAGGGAACAGTATGTGCAATGTCTTGAAAGAATCCTGAAAGGCTACAGCAGGCTTGCAGGGATATGAGGCTGGAGAAGTTGGCTGTAGTCAGAAGGATAAAACCCCTGTTTGCCTCACTGAAGTTAGGGGACTTGATCCTAGAGACAAAAGGAAACCATAGGACCTGATTTGGGTCAAGGGCCCTAGTCAAGCCCATGTCATCTATGGAGTCTATTCTTGCTATGCAAATTGTTCCTTCCTTCCTCAGCATTCCTACACCCCTTACCACCCATATCACACACTCAAGCGTTATTACTTACAACTCCTCCAAATATTTCAGTCTGTGTTTCCACTGACTAGAGAGAACCCGAGGGCAGGGGCCTTTAATTTTTCTAACTTCTCTATCCTAAGAGTACCTATGAGTGCTGAGCAAGTAAATGGTCAATAACTTCCCACGACTGGTGGATTCATATTCCTCCTGGGGATGGCTTCAGCAAACTAAGTTCCAGAGATAAGAGTAGGGAAAGTTCTAAACCAAAGTCACTACATCCCTTACTACTGACCACGAGTGACAGAATCCACGATCACAAAACTTAACTTGGAGAGCAACTATATATACACTTGAGTCTACCCTCCATGAACTTGGACTGTCCCTTTCTGCCTACTTCTGCTTCCCCACCCAAGCTGATAGTGACCCCTGTTCCCCCTGGGAATACTGGGTCTGAACATGCCCCCATTGAGGGGGGAGGTGGCAAGGACACAATCAATGCATTTAGGAAATGCATCTGGCCCTGAAGTGAGAGTGTGTTTGTTCCTGTATGTAAATGCCAAGTTGCAGGAGGTTACCATAGCAACTCCAGCAGGGTGCTGCAGTGGGCAGCTTTGCACAGAGGTGCAGAAACCCCATTCTTTAACATCTGGTCTTTTGCTGTGCACATGGGATCCTAGCAGGCACATCATGGCTTCAGGCCCCGGCTTTGGGATGCTGCAAAAAAGGAAGTGGGATTTTGAAGACCTGCTAGGCTCATTGCCCTTTTTCTCATGCACCACACACAGCCTTCCTCATGCACAGTAAACACAACATGTAGAGCCCCAAACAGGCTCTTCAGAAACATGTAATTCCCAAACTCCTTCTTGTATATTATGATGAACAGATTGTACTTGCACATCAGCGTGACGTCCATGCAAAATTTGCATCCACTGAATAACCCAGCAACTGTACATTTTAATGAGCCACATATCCACAGTGTCCCCATTCCCAGCCAGCCCCCAGTTTTATTATGTTATTGGTATGTTTTTAATGCAAAAATAAGTAATGCCATCAAGTGTGTAGGCTGGACTTAACAGGGTCAACTAAGCCGCACTCCAGGAATTGCAAACCAACTTTTCAAAGGACCAGGCAATTTTTGAAATCGCTTTTCCGTAGGGATCAGAGAGTAAGGGTTTACTCACCCACTTCTTAATGTTTGCAATGTGAAGAGATCTCTTGTGAATAAAGAGCACCAGGGAGGTGTTATAGGACATTCCACATGTGGCTCTACCCTATGTATGGCCATCAGGAAGCCATGTTCCTACAAAGTGAACTCCAGTTGGTAGGACATTAAGTAGATGAAACGTTTGCCTCCTGGACAGTTTCATTGTTTGTCAGTTTTTGGATCTAGAGAGTAACTATGAATTGGGTTATCTTTGAATTCTCTCATGGGCAAAATAAGGATGATGTACAGCATCACTACAGAAATGGATTGCATGGTGGGCGCACACAGCAGAGAGAGAGAGACATCTGCACAGGGAAAAGTGAGGGAAATTTTGGTTAACGAAGTCACATGAACCTGTCCTGCTTTGCAAGAGGCTGGAGCAGGACCACAGTATCTTTGCAGCCTGGCAGTGAGAAAAGAGAGGTGGATTAGAAGGTTCCAGGATCTGAAGGAGTTTCGTGGCCTAAGAAAATGAGTAGAGGGGTACTGAGAGAGAAATGTAAACAAACAAAAGGAACGGAAGGGGAGCCTCTTAGCCAGGGAGACCATTCTGTGTGCAGGAATGCCTTTGCCTACCTAAGGTAGCGTTGGGAACAAAGAAGATACCAACAGGAACAGACTACAGTTGGATGCTTTCTTTATCCAAGGCATCTTGATGTGACCTGGGCAGTGGAGGTGGCTGGTTGAGGACATTGCTGCATGTAAGTGTGAAGGTGGGATGGACACCAAGAGGAGAGAAAACTTGAGTGTTGTGACTAAGTGCCAGTCACCTGGTGAGAGATACAGAGCCCTCTCCAAGAGTGCGGGCTAGAGATCCAGCCGGTACAATGTGGCCTGCACATGCCTGCCACGGGGAGGGCGGGATACCTGTTTCCAACTCCCCCAGGAAATGCTGTGGGAGTGGGTGTCCAGGGGGTGTGAAGCAAAGAACGGGGCATGTGGCCAGGGACTGGGGAGAAGGGCTTATGGGAGTTGAGCCGGTCTCAGACAAGTGTTCTGTCAATGTGCTCCTGAAGGAAAGCGGAGAGGTCAAGGCCAGGAAAGGTTTCAGAGAGCCTCCTGCAACCTGCTCCTGTGGGGCAGGGCGGCTGGGAGGTCGAGGGCCCAGCATCCATGTCGGATGTGGGGAGAAGTCGGGGGCACCGAGGCGCTGGCCGGCAGGTGGGTGTGGAGGGAGGGCTGGGCGTGGGGCGGATCCTGGGCGACAGGAGTGGGGGAAGGGAGGTCGGCGGCGAGTGGGTGTGTGGAGCGGGCTGGGGGGGGGGGGTGGGGGCGCCGGGCCGCCTCGACCTCCCCCGGGACTCACCCAGCACGAAGTAGGGCAGCTCCGTGTTTTCCAGGTCGTCCACCACGACCATTTCTCCCGGGAAGTCGTTGCGCACCGAGAAGAGGAGCTTGGGCTCGGAGGCCGAGGGGCTGTGCATGATGCTCAGGTCGTTCTCGCGCAGGAAGGGCAGCGCCGACACCGTGATGCTCTTGAGCTTGCACTCCAGCTCCTTGGATGGGTCCACGTCGCCGGCGGCCGTAGCCAGCACCGCCGCCGGCCCCCAGCAGCAGGCGAGCAGGGCGCAGAGCCCGGCTAAAGCCATCTTGAGCCCCAGCCGCCTTCCTCCGGCGCCGCGGAGGTGGGGGAGGCGGCGAGCAGGCGGGAGCGAGCGAGCGCGGGAGGCGGGGGAGGCTGCGGAGGGACGTGGAGCCGGGAGAGCCCCGCTCCGAGGAGCCAGACGCCGCGCGCAGTGCGCGGGGCTTGCGCGCTGCTTCCCGGAGCGCCCGCGTTCTTTGTTCCTCGCAGCTGCTTCGCTGGGGAAAGGAAGGCGGGGAAGGAGGAGAGAAGGGAAGGAAGGACGTCGGAGGAGAGAGGAAGGGAGCTGAGGATTCTAGGGAATCGGGTCAGCCCCCAGCAGGCTGCCGGTGCTGCCGCCTTTCTCCTCCTTCGCCTCCCCCGGCACGAGCACGCTCTTGGCTAGGAACTACCTGCACAGCATTTTTAAAAAATCGGTCTTTGCAATGCAAAATCTTCCCTCTCGCATCATCATCCAGATGGCTTGGGGAGGGCACACAGGCGCACACACCTTAAAAGGCGCTTCCTGAGAGCAGGTGGGGGGGCTCTCTAGATGCAAATGAGCCCCCCATTATTTTGTGGCTTAGGTGGTCCCATTCTTGTCTTTTTTACCCACTAGTTTTGCATACGTGTGTTGGAGAAACGGGTGCTGAGAAAAATGGATGTATATATTTTTACTCAGCACTAACTTTGCAGAAATATTTAGAGGAAATATTTGGCTTGTAGATATAGATGGCTCAAGAGGTGAATGTAAACAGCAAAACAAAGCCAGTGCACAGTGTACAGTGAAGCAGGAGATCAGAAGTTTTATTGGCAACTTGTTTCTGCTCTTTGTTTCATTTCTGTTACAAATGTTATCAAAGGTAACCAATATAAAGATGATGTGGGGAAAGCTATAATTAACAGAAAAAGTAAAACTAGCTGGAAGAAATGTTGAGCCTTTAATTTTAGAGAATCCAGTAAATATAACAGAGCTGGAAGAAAATGTGGGGAAAAAAACCCCTGAAGTATCTAAGCACCCCTAACAAATTGGAAAGGAATAAGAGTATCCTTGGGTATGGGCCAAGTCCGTTCCAGCCCCAACAGAAGTAGATCAGAGTAGATAGCAACAATAACCCATATAAGTTTTGTTTCCTTTAGTGCTGGGCAGTGTTGCCTTAACAAAAGGATGACAATATGCAATAAACCATAGTAAAAAAGTGGTTTGTGTGTGCTGGAATCTGATGTTTTATTGAACTTTCTCTCCCATGATAACCAATAACTTATTTAAAAGTTTGCCCTTCCAACATCGTTTATTCAATGCTGATTTAAATGCTAGGTGTTGTCTCATACAGGTAGTTCCTACTCTCTAAGAATTTAATGCACTACACTTTCCAAAGAGGACCCCCCATTTTATTTTATTTTATTTATTTATTTATTTTAAGATTTTATTTATTTGTCAGAGAGAGAGAGCACAAGCAGGGGGAGCGGCAGGCAGAGCAGAGAAAGAAGCAGATTCCCTGATGAGCAAGGAGCCCGATGTGGGACTCCATCCCAGGACCCAGGATCCTCAGGTCTGGGGTCATGACCTGAGCCAAAGGCAGACGCTTCACCAACTGAGCCACCCAGGTGTCCAGAGGACATCCCCCCCCATTTTAGAAACAATTTCATTCTTGTGGTACCTGGTGTTAATTTATTAGCATATGTGAATGTATGTCCTTTAAAAGAAAAAAAAAAAACTTTTGCCATATATTTCACAAGGTTACTCTAGTTGATGGATGGAAATAGAGAAAATGAGCCATATTTAAGGGATGAAAGACCTGTTTAATATGAAAAAGAGAACAAAAAATGCTTTATTACAAGTTGTCTTTTGAATCTGGTGTACCTGAGAACTAACCCAGAGGCAGATTACCATGGAGCATTGTAAACCACTGCAAAAACGTTTTATTAGCTGATGACCTTCCTAAAACTCATTCTTATTTTCATTACTCCCCTAGGAGGTACTGAAGGAGAGAAAGCCCACAGGAAACTTTTTTCCCTACTCTCCCTAGCATAAAAAAACAGTATTAAACTTAGTTATGCAAAGTTTATCTTTGAAAGATTAGAGATGACAGGAAAACACACTTAATCATAGAATGCAAGAAATGTCATGTGACTACCCGATCATCTATAAGTCCAATCTCTCATTTTACAGATGACGAAATTAAGGCCAGTGAAAGAGGTGATTTACCCAAGATCAATATGCTAAGAAGGGGTGGATCTAAGACCTAAACAAGACTTATTTGCCTAATGCTCTTTCCACTGCACAGTTATGGTACATTTAGGTGCACCCATGGATTAACATCAGAATTTATGGATCACAGTCATTCATTCGGTAAACATTTGGGTACTGACCATATTTTTCTCCTGTTTTTGAGTAGCGTATAATCTGCAATTACTTTGAAATTTTTAATTTTCTGAAGTTGTTGAGTCATTCTAGAAAACCCGAGTAAACCATCTGGGGTTGATTTTCTAATAAGTCAGTATCTAGTATTCTTTGCCTATCTATAGTCATTTTTACATGCTTTCTTATTCACATTTAAAAGGAAAAGTGCATAGAAAAATGCATATTGATTTGGAAATAGTTGAAAGTTGTTGTCTCAAGTCTTTATAGACCTCTTTCTCTACAAGATCAGACAAAAGAACCATACAGATAAAAAGAGGTCCTGTATTGCCAGGGCACAGGATTCCTGTAAACACAGATACAATGTCACAGGGCCTCCTCTTAGGGAATTAAATACCTAGAGATGGGGGAAAGGTTGAAGTTCACAGAACATAGAGCATCTGTACCATGTGTGATGGTTTACGTTTAAATGGAACTGGGAGAAATTTGTATGCATCTCAATCATTACCTTTGTGTATAGGCAACATGATAACAGGTTTGGATGCAAGTGTCAAGTCCTTAATTTGCTTATTTGAAATTGAGATTGGACCTTTTTTTTTTTTTTTTTTGGAGAGAGAGCGAGAGAGCACACATGTTTGGGAAGTGGGGGGAGGAGAGGGAGACAGAGAGAGAGAATCTTAAGCAGGTTCCACACCCAGCTCAGAGGCCCACTCAGGGCTTGATCTCAAGACCCTGAGATCATGACCTGGGCCGAAGTCAAGGGTCAGACTCTTAACCGACTGAGCCACCCAGGCGCCTGGAGATTGGACCCTTCTTATCTTCAGTATCCCCATCAGTGAAATGGAGTCCATGATCTTTGCCCACTCCACAGGCCACAGGTAGGTACAAGTACTTATACTCACTAAGATGCTGTCAGATAGCAGGCTCTGTTATCTCTAATCTATCCCCTCTCCCCTGACGACACACAAACACACTCCAATCAAATTAAAGCCCATTTCCCATTTCCAGTCCTCCCATGCCACTCTGTCCACCTGGGAAGCACTGCTCTGTGTTTTCCAGATCATCTCATCTCCACAGACCAATCTCCAGCCTCATCTATGGGGTGGGTCCTTCTATCACATCTTTGTCTCATCGCCCCCTCATGGAGCACTTATACACACACGCATGCTCCACCTTACAAGGCCAAGGGCCACTTCCTACCACCATGTCTTGTATTTGAGATTCTTAATTTGCAAAATAGAAACAATTATACATACTTTGTAGAGTAGTTGTGAGAAGACTATATATGGAAAAGATCAGACACATTTCAGGCATTGAGTTGGTGTTCAGTAGTGATAGCCTTTGCCATTATCCCTTTATTCAATTATTTCAGATAGAAAGTAGGCTTCAGAATCTCCTTCGTGAGATTGTCTTCCTTGTGGTAGCCAGAAGCAAATTAAGCGATTTACACTCCTTGGTATATACCAAGGATAAATGATTGCATGTGTTCACTCAGAGAAATATACAAGAACATTCATAGCAGGTTTACTTTGAATAGACCAAAAAAAAAAATCCAAAAGTACATCAATAGGAAAATAGAAAAATGGTTTATAGTCATGCACTGGAATACTGCACAGCAATAAAAACATGCAGCGACATGGATGAATCTCACAGACCTAATGATAAGCAAAAGAAAGCAGACACAGAAGTGTGTACGTGCTCAGATTCTATTTATGAACTTCAAGAACAGGTAACATTAATCTTTGATGATAGAAGTCAAAATAGCAGCTGTCTCTGGAGAGTGGGGGATTTTGACTGAGAAGGGCAGACGAGTTTCCGGGGTGCTGGAAATGATGTGGGTAGTGGTTACATGGATGCATAGACAGGCAAAAATTCAATAAACTGTACACTTGTGGAATTTTTAATGTATAGGATACCTCTTTAATTTTTTTTAACATGGCTTAGAACTCCACACCCACAGAATGAAGAAGGAAGGTCAAACCTGTATAATAAGACACAGAGGAGGTGAAAGTGATGGATGGGTGGGGCTAAGAGTGTGTATGTGAGAAGTAGTTCTAATTTTTCCCCATTCATTCAGAACATCTGGTTCCTTAATGCTTTTTAGCTAATCCTGATGTATACTGCTTGGGTATTCATTAAACCTCTGCTTTCTTTTATTTTTTTTCTAGTTTTTACAAAATAATCTTTGATTTTGCTCTCCATTCAAGAAAGCTAAATCAAAACACTTCTCTCCCTTTCTGTGCATTTCTTCTCTCCATGTTTTCTCCACCATACAACTTGGTGTGAACTCCCCAAATTCCTTTGCCAGCTCCAGCCTCTAGTTCTTCTGTTGATTGGATTTTTCTTCAACTATTACTCTCCTGTACTCTTGCCCAAATTTAGTGTAGTGTGTTAGTTAGCTGGACGTAGTTCAGCTGTGCATCTTCATTAGGACATCAAGAATATATTTCACACTCTTTGATCCCAAGTTAAGAATGTTTTTCCTTACTCTTTCCTCCCCCCCCCCCTCAATTCACAGGCTCAGCAACAGCACCTGCTTCACAGAAACAAGGCTGGTCCTGTTCTGATTTCTCTAGTCTTCCTTTAAAAACCAAATGGAGATCAACAGTCCCTCTTCCTGACACACACTGAAGCAAAAAGAGACACACAGAAGGACAGCACCACAG